CCCTCGTGTAGCAGAGGAAAAACGCCATAAGGCAAGGCATCGGCGGCATCGGCACGGCGTCGAAGTCGATTCGGACAGGCTGCGCCGGGATGCACAATGGCACCTTGAACACATCGGGCCACATCAGGTCTGGGAGCATCAAAAGGCACCGATACCGCTACGTACAGAAGGAGAAAAAACAATAGACATAAACTTTTGGCGCTCCGCTCGGACCTTTGGGCGGGCCCCCATCCCTGGCGCGTGGAGCGCGCCAAGGGCGGCGCCGGAGGCGTCGCTGGGGGAGCCCAGCGCGGAGCCAAGAAATCCGCGCGGAGCGCCAAAAGTTTATGGTTGTGGCATGTTCCTTCTGCTTCCCAACCAGGACGTGGATACTGTATGGCAGCGTAAGAGAATTCGGTAACGCAGGGGGGAGCCTTGGGAAGCGTTGTTTTTTCTTTCTAACCGTCTCTTACCCTGAAATCAGACTGCCTGGAGATAGGGTTAATTGGCGCGCTCTCAACTGTCCTTGAAAAGCCGGAGGAAAGACTCATTCGCACCCCTGCGGGAACTGCGGGCGGCAAGCCCAGAGATCCGACGCTCCGGAAAAACTGGAGCTGCCGGTGCGTGGCCGGTTGCAGCCTCCGGGGGCCCTCGCCGGGCCCTGGGACCGTCGATCAGCTGCTGCAAAACGGCCCAGGGGCACACGGACAAGTATACACACAAATCCCAAGGCTCCCAATATTTTCCTACATTTTCAGGGTTTTCGTCTTCCCCCCAACTTCCCGTATTTTCCTAGGAATCGACAACTAATTGTGTCTGTGTGTTTGTTGTCCCTCCTGGTACTGAGGGAGAAGAACCGGCCTTGAGGAAGTGGTCTGGACCTGCAGCGCCGACGCATCGAACAAAAAATGGAGCGGACCGATGTCTGGGAGCAGAAGGGCATGCGAATACGATGCTCACCCCTTGGCAGCGCACGTCGGAGCCAAACACATTAGCACAATCACCGTACCGTATACCGTTACCCAAGCGTTGTGAGCAAAGAGCGACCGCAACCAAGCATGTAAACGCCGGTCGGCAGAAGTGGGTAGAAACATGAAGTGGGAAAACGTTGGAAGTAGATTGGGCTTCCGCCCGCCGCCTGAAGAGGCAGGAAGAAGCAAACCAGCCGACCCTTGAAGTAGGAAGGCGCTCTTCAAGTAGATTGGAATCTGGGAAATTCCAGAAATACACCTACGTTCAACGACCGATGGGCAGCACAAACATCGTACCGTATACCGTTACCCAGGCGCTATGGGCAGAAAGCGACCACAACCAAGCATGTGCTACAATCATCGGCCTGACCTGAGCAACGACAAATAAGCAGCGAAATCCCTTTTTCCAAGGGGTAACGCACAAGGAACGCTGCACAAAACATAACGCATAAGGAACGATAAATAACGCACGCAAGCCTAAGGAACGACCGAGCCCCTTTTGAAAAGTAAACGCCGGTCGGAAGAAGTAGGTAAAAACATGAAGTAGGAAGGCGGATCAAGCAGATTGGGTCCAGGACCTCCCAGAGAATAACAAACCATAGAAAAAGCGTACCGGTTCTCGAAGTGGGAAGGCGGTTGAAGCAGATTGGGATCTGGGAAGCCAGAAATACCTACTTTCAACGACCGGCACGCAAGTGTTCTTTTATCCAGGCCGCGCACTGCATCAGAGTCCCGAGCGCGCGCGCGCGTCGCCCCTGGGCCGAGGGGGGGGGGCCCGACGCGCACGCGGCGCGAGCACGGCCGAGTGCCGCCGAGACACCGGCAGTCGCTGGAGTCTGCCCCACGGGTGGGTGGACTGAGAGCGCCCACGCGCGTCGCGCCAGGACCTGGAGCCATGAAAGCACGTCGGACCGAGATGTACAGGGCAGGTTTTAAAACATAGGATCTTCAAAACAAATGAGTTTAAATACATTACTAACTTATGAAAAAAAATATGCATGAACTCATCGTTGTTTCTGGTACTAAATCCCTACATGTTTACTACATGATCCGCACGCGGAGCATGTAATAAAAGCGGCACTGTATTTGGACGCCCGAAATGGGTATGGAGAAGATGGGCACAATGCCCAACAACAACCGTTGTCCCAAACCAACAACGGCCGCTGTGGGGCAGGCGGCCTTCCGTCTCGAATGGAGACAGGCCGCGGCGGCGCGGACAGCGAGTCCTGTTCAAGATGAACAGGAACTGCTGTTGGGCATTGTATCCATTCTTTCCGTACCCATTTCGGGCGTCCAGAGTGTCTACCCCCTTCCCCCAAATTCAAAGCTGACGGGCTTGGGCGGCAGGACAGAGGCCGGGGACAACATGGTGGCACTTCGGCTTTGGGTTTTGGGGGGGAGGGGTGCGAGGCAAGGGCATTTTGCAGTTGTGGTCGTTATCATGTTGCATCGCCTTCCCGCCATGGGTGTGGACACTTTTGTCTGGGCACCACCGCACCTGCGCCCCTGCGTCGGCGGCGGCCTGCTATTGAGTCGGGCATGTCCTCCTACCGGCGGATTTTGGAAGAAGTCTTTAAAAATACCCAAAACATGATCCAACGTCATCAAGAATAGTCGGAAAATCGTCCCAGGACTACGTTTTACTCTTTTTTTGAAATTCCTCCTGTAGAGGGGCAGGCCCGACTTGAGCCTACTTCTCTGCGAGCCATCACTCTCCCAGGCTCGTCCCCACCCCCCCCCGCGGCAGCTGCACCCCATGCATACGACGACCTCCTCGGGTGCCACGAGGGAGAACCCAGGATCCTGACGGTGACCGCTGAAGGCCTCCAGGGTCACACCGACAGAACGCGATGCGACTGCGAACTGCGTGGAACGCCGCGAGGGCGGCGCAGCGTGGGGCCGAAGCGCCGAGAAAACGACTCGCTTGGACCATGCTGAATTTGGCAAAGTCGCCCGCCAACACGGCCCAAGTGTGAGCGCATGCAAGTTTCACAGGGAAAGCGTGGGCAGGCAAGCACCTGTGCCTGAGGTCACTCCTGTCGTTGAGAGCGAATGCATGATTTGTTATTCGCCTTGAAACTGTCTAAACAGATGTGCACAATGCCATCCTGCCACACGATGACGAGAGGAACGACTTTAAGAGAACGGCGGGGTAATGGAAAGCCCAAGCGGCGCAAGGGGGGCTCGGGAGAGCAGGGTGGAGGCACAGACTCGTCGCCTCGTCCGTGTAGAAGATGTTGCCTGACAGCGCACTCTCGTCCACAAGTCTATGCACACTGCGCCCGCTGGCAATCCACGGTTAAGGAAGTGACTCATCGAGGCACTCGACCACAAGCACAGCCGGTCACGTCACGGTAACGTCGGCGTTAGTTCTGATGGGCCTGTTTTCCACCACCACCACCAGAAGCTGGAGGAGGGGAAGGAGGAGGAGGACGAGGAGGAGGAGGAGGAGGAAGAAGAAGAAGAGGGGGAGGAGGACCCCCCTCCCCCCTCCAACTTATGCTGGTGGTGGTGGAAAACAGGCCCATCGAGTTCTAACGCTGCATAGATATTCCGACCTGGAACGGTAACGGCCCTATGAGACGCGCAGGTCGTTCGAGATCCGCAGGGAGTCCGGGCCACAAGAGCGGCGTTCAACCTCGAACGCCCTTCGCTGGGGCCGCCGCCGCGCCGACGCGGCGCGGCCTCACAGGTCGCGCAGTCCCTGCGATCATGCACACACATGCGTGTTTTCACGCGTGAGGCACTGTGCAACAAGTCTGCGCTCCAAGTATCACGCAGGCAGAGTACAGGCAGCCACATGATGACAACAACAGGCAGACAGAGTCAAACCCGCTGGCCTAGAGCGATGCACAAGCCATAACACTTGGCAGCATTGGCAGCGAGGTTCTTGACCTCCCTCAGGCTGCTGTCGATTCGCACTTTGCTCCCTCGTGTCACTACCCCACTCGTCCGAGCGGCCACGACTCTGTGCAAGCTAGGAGCAATCCCCAGAAACGCACCGTGAATCCCTGGACGATCCATGCGAAACCGACACTCCAGACGGCAACTTGATCGCTGCATCTCCTGTGCTGTTCTACACTGCGCGACGCCTCCCTGTGGTCGGCGGCGCACCAGGAGGGGAAGGCAGATCGCTCGGACATCCCTTCATCGTGCAGTGTTCGGTTTCGTGCGTGCTTTTCTTGCCAGGGGATCCAGAAGGCTCCTCGATGGTCCTCGCCGAAGTAACAAGTACGGCCGGACCTAGGCCAAAGAAACATCCTTCGAGAACACGAGACCCTCCGCCGGCCAAAACACACAGAACATCCAAAAGTACCCTCCCCAAGATGCACAAGAACTGGGGAAACCTAAAGGTACCGACACCGCTACTCCCCGGACCTCTACTGGGGTGCGTTCTGACCAGAATTTCAAGGCAAATTCAACGGTGACGCGAAGAGTAGAGGTATGGGTACCTTTTCCTCCCCTGGAGAGCATCCAAGAAACACGAAGAACATTAGGGTACGCTCCCCGAACCGACCTCGATCTTGTACCTCGGTCAGACGGCATGCACACGTCCGCGCGATGCCAAGAAGAGGCGGGCCTTCTCGCAAGGCATGCACAGGGCCTCGCCTTCCCCGAGGCCACGGCGAGAGGCTTCTCGGAACGCCAGAAGTGGGCGGCGGAGGAGGCCTGCAGCGACTCTGCGGAGGCCCGCCCGTGCCGCGGACCCTGTGGACGCGTGCGCAGGAGCCCTCACAGGAAGAGGCCGCGGCAGATACTGAGACGGCGGAGGACACACAGTCGAAATTCCCCAACCAGTGCTTGCACGGAAGGGGTCCTTGCGGGAATTGAAAGATATGGCGAACATCTCCCGCCGATTCTGGTAGCAGGCTGGGTTCCCGCGGGTTCCCGGTTCCCGGGTTCCCGGGTTCCTGGTTGCTGGTTCCAGGCCGATGTCGGTGGGGTCTGGGTTCCCGGGCTCCCCTGTTCCCGGTCGCTCTCCTCAGCGAGAACCACTACTTGGGGGTTTCCTCTGGTGTAATATATATATATACACATATATATATATAGATATACACACATACACACATACACATATATATGTATATATATTTATACATTTATATATATATATATATATATCGTAAGGACGGGCGGTAAGGACGCAAATGCCTTGAACGCCAAAATTGGCACTTTTGGGGGCGACGGACCGCCAACACCCTGAAGGGCTGGCCAGTGGAAACCGCGAGGGACGGGCCGCAGAGGCAAACACGCAAGGGTACCCTGAGGGCATCCGTGCGTCCTTACTACGAGTTTTGACTGCACCTGCACTGTGCGCCCCCCTTGGAAACGCACGTCCGAGCCGAATACACAGCACACACACACATATGATCACACAATCGTTGCCCAGTCGGTGCGGCCAGAAAACGCCCGCCATCGAGCGTACACTGCAAGAGCTCCGATCGCGCACGCCGCCTCCCTGGGAGGCCGATGCGCACATAAAATGTTGGCGATGCGGGTGCATTACCGGAACAGGTTGACCCGTTGGTCGGAAGGAGTGGGTAGAGTGGTAGAAGCATGAAGTAGAGGGCGCTGGAACTGGATTGGGTTTCCGCCCACCGCCTGAGGATGAGGGAAGAGGGAAACCACTCGACTTTGGAAGTAGGAAGGCTGCTAGAGTCGATGGGCATTTGGCGATTCCAAAAAAGTGGGACAGGCATGTCCTCCTACAGGCGGATCGGATTCTGAAAGGAAAGTCTAAAATACTCGGAAATATCTAGAAACAGTCAGGCAGGATACTGGAAAAATCGTCCCCAGGCTATGGCTTGACTATTGTTGGAGCTTCCCCCTGCAGAGGGACAGGCCCGACGTGGGCCTGCGGTCGCCCCACACGGGGTCGCGGGAGCCCGGGCCGAGAACACGGAGCCCCTTCGCCGAGCGGAGAGCCCCAGATCCCCACGGAGGCACCGTCGGGGCGCCGACCCAAGGAACCCCCAAAATGGGGAACGAGGCCCCTCTTTCCTACAAGCTGAACCTCGATGCCCCATGGGAAAAACCTCAGGAAGACCCGAGGCACACTGAAAGGGAACGGGGAGGCGATGCGAAGGTGGGGAGGCGAGGAGGAGGAGGAGGAGGGAGGAGGGAGGAGGGAGGAGGGAGGAGGGAGGAGGGAGGAGGGAGGAGGGAGGAAGGAGGAGGAGGAGGAGGAGAACACCGGAGCCCCTCCCCCACGAAGAGGGTCCCCTCTTCCGCGGCCCCAGCCGTACCCAGCGGTCGGAAGAGGCAGGTAGAGGCACGAGGTAGGAGGGCGTTGATCCAAGTAGATTGGGTGTCCGCCGGCCCTCTAAAGAGGGCGGAGAAGGTGAAGCCATTCGATCTTTGGAGCAGGAAGGCGCTCAAAGCGGAGTGGAAGCTGGGACTCCTGAAATACCTACTCTCAACGACCGACGGGTACCCGAAACGAAGAGCACTCAAAGGAAGGGAGCCCAGCGGCGAGGAACATAAGGGTGCGCCTCCAATGTTATGATTGCTGTTAACCATCGTGCGAGCTGTACAGTGAGCGGCTTGAATTAGGAACACTGTTCAAAAGGGGCTCGGTGGTTCCTCAGGCTCGCATGCGCTATTCATCGCTCCTCATGCGCTAGTTCTTATGTATCGTTCCTTATGCGCTTTTCCCTACAAAAAAAAAGGCTTCGTTCCTTCTTCGTCGTTCTTCAGGCCAGGCCGCTGACTGCACCGAAGGCGGGGCGGGGGCCTTCTCGGGAGGCCTCTCGGAGGCCTCCACAAGGGGGCCCCCCCTGCGAAGGCCGCCGTCATCCCTCGCGGCCCCCCCCCTCGGGCGCGCCGCCAACGTGAGAGCAACTGCCCGGGAGCCCCACGGCTATGGTTAAGTCGGGCGCGTCCCCTACAGGGGGATTTTCGACGAAAAATAAAACATACACCAAAAATGTTCCAAAATGGTCAAAAAAAAATGAAAATAAATAGTCCCCAGACTATTTGTTGACTAGTTTTGAATATTCCCCCTGTAGAGGGACAGGTCCGACCCGGCCTGTCTCAGCCTCCTCGACCACCAGAAACAATCTCGAGCACCAAGGAAGCACCGAAATTGGAGGGCTTCCGCGTGTCGGGCCCCGGGAGGCGAGACTCTTTCGACACCGTTTCGATGCTCTCCTGGGTGCTCGAGATCATTTCTGGGATGTGGTCCAGCAGCACGACGGGGGCAGCATGGCCCCACGGCAGGCTCGTGTCTTGACTTGACGACCCCAGTGCTGGTTCCTGGCACCGCAGGGATCCTTTCACCTTGAACGATCGGCCTTTCCACTCGCTCAGTATCGACCGACTCTGGGCCGCCAGCTGCGAGGCGGGGACTTATCCATATCCACCGCCTGGGAACCGACGTCCTGGTGCCCCAGCGGGCGGTGGATATGGATATGTTTCGGCCCCCGGGGGCCCGAATATGTCCATATCCACCGCCTGCCGAGGCTCCGAAAACTGACCCTCCAGTCGGTGGATATGGATCAATTCCCGCCTCGAATTCAACCTTGAACGATCGGCCTTTCCACCCGCTCAGCATCGGCCGACTCTGGGCCGCCAGCGGCATCCGACGTCGAGCGCCCGCGGCGGGGTCGCCGCCGGTCGACGCGGCGCGAGCCCAGCGCGCCCCTCCCGCCAGGAGGCCGAGCATCCACGCGGCCGCGCGGGCAGACGCGCCAAGCGCGTGCAGCAGCGTGCGGGGATAAAGGAGCGAACACAGAAATAAGAATACACGCCGGTCGGAAGAAGTGGGTAGAATCATGTTGCTTCCATCGTACGTAAAGACCACATCCCAGAAACAATTTCGAGCACCTGGAAAAGTGTCGAAAGAGTGTCGAAACAGTGTCTCCAAGGGCCCGACGCGTGAAAACCCTAGAGTTTGGGAGTGCTTTTCTGGTGCTCGAGATTATTTTTGGTGGTCAAGGCTAAAGTAATTTGGAACATCATAAGGGTAGAAACATGAAGTTGGAACGCGGATCAAGTAGATTAGGTTCAGGCCCTCCCTCCGAGTAACAAGCCATAATAACATCAGGTCGATTCTTGAAGGAGGAAGGCGCTTGAAGTAGACTGGGATCTGGGGATCCGAAAATACCTACTTTCAACGACTGGCGTGTAAGCATGAACGTACAAAGAGGGCATGATAGGGGAACTAGCACTACCATACAAGCAATGAGCATACACATAAGCATGGCAGAAACATACATAGAAGCATAACGCGCAAATTTCTCGGATTGGCGCTGGACACCCTTGGCGGCGCCTCTGGCGCAGCGCCTGGCGCGCTCCGCGCGCCAAGGAGGGGGGTCCAGCACCGATCCGAGAAATCCGCGCGGAGCGACAAATTATCCCGGCAAAGCAACCTAACAGCGATGTGTGAAGCATATCTGGGAGCATTCCCCTCGAGATTCATGTAGGAGTCCTGTTATAGACGCAACTGGGCCTCCAGAATCCAGACGCCATGAAGGCGAATCTTGGAACGTCATGGATCCCCGCAACTGGGCCTCCAGAGGCCGGAACCGCTGAGAAAAACCTTGCGTATCCGTCCTCGAACCACTCCTCGAACCACTCCTCGTCCTCCTCCTCCTCCTCCTCCTCCTCCTCCTCCTCCTCCTCCCTCTGAGCACACCGCGGCGCTCGACAGGAGGCATCTCTCCTCCTCACTGCTCATGGGCTTTCGGATGCATCAGCCTGCCTCAGCGTCTGCCTCAGCCTGCCTCAGCCTCAGCCGCAGCCTCAGCCTCAGCCTCACTTGAGTTCCCCCATATCAGGCGTGGACCCGCGGCACCCCCGATTGACTTCCCCCATATCAGGCGTGCACCCGCGGCCCCCCCGACTGAGTTCCCCCATATCAGGCAAGAACCCGCGGCACCCGTCAGCTGAGTTCCCCCATATCAGGCGTGGACCCGCGGCACCCCCGACTGAGTTCCCCCATATCAGGCGCGGATCCCCGGATTCCCGCGGGGATCCCCGGATTCCCGCGGCACCCGTCCGGCATCTGCCCAGACCGCCCCCTGGGGAGTCATGGTGCTCTCTTTTGAGACCACAAGAAACCTAGCAGTCTTCGCTGTTAGGTAAAAAAATGATTATGGCGTTTTGTTCCTATTTCCAGGTCTGGATCCTCCCGGTCTGGCTCTGGCTCAGGCGCTGGTGCCCGTCCTCCACTGTCAGCGCCTGTCCGCGCTTGTGCCGAGATCGGGTGGCCGCCGTTGCCACGAGGAGCCGCCCAAAGGCCCGCAAGGCCCGAAGGGCGCCCTCGCACCTCGATCCTCGAGCCTCCTCCCGCCCGTTCGCCCATCATGAGATTCGACGTTGCGAGAATACTGCAGCACCCCGAAGCACGACGGGAGCTCCGGACCCCATGTTTCTTCGGCACTGGTCCAGCCCGATCGATCCGTGGGGGTCCTCGGCCCCGAAGCCATGCGAAGTCGCCAGAATTGTAGAAAAAATGCGACGTCTGGAACTCAAGGAACTCACGAGCGGCGAGTATATCCATATCCGCGCCCTCTGGATTCCGGGGCGCGATCCCGCGGATACGCGGTCGCACGGGCATGTTCCGCGCGTGGCATCTGCGACAAAACGCCCCGTATCCGCGCGGTCGCGGCCCTGGGGCCCGGCCCGCGAGGCCGCGGATACGAATATGTTTTCGCCCACGAGGAACCTCGATCCTCAAGCATTCGGGCGTTGCTTGCTGCTTAATGGGTACGATCAGTAGGGGGAACGTGCACCTTTTGTGCCCTGAGGGGGCTCTGAAGGAGTCCCCTGGTGCCCAAAAGGGGTACGAAAGGTGCACGTTGTTTCACTCCTCCCTCAGGGCACAAAAGGCGCATATTTGTTCATCCCCCCCATCGATCGCCCCCCCTCGAGGAAGCGCACATATGGATTAGCGGCGCATGGACTCGAGAAACGCATCGGCACGTTCCGTGGCCCGAACGAACGGCCTTGGCATCATGTTTCGAGGGGACCTCCCCCTATCCTCGGCGGTGGACAAACCTCCCTTTAGTAGACCTCCCCTTGGCGAAAACGGCCTGGGACCGAAACCG